ATCAAGAAGGTATTTTGAGACTCAACAGGAACCCAGACTGATCCCCACAGTGAACAGAGTTTTCTCTTCAGGCATGTGTTTCTAGAGCTCCTTCCCACATCCTTGGCTGCTAGTGGGTCCATTTATGTCTGCAGTCCTGGGAAGGCTTCCCACTCCCTACCAGTCCAGCCTCCCTGAGTTGTTCTCACAGCTGGCAAAATTAATGGAATCATTGTAACCTGATCAGGTACTCTAAGAAGCAGCTGTACTTATGGCATGAAAATAATCTTTCATTCTTTGTGTGACACTTAAATGATCTCTTATTCAAATGGTCTCTACATGACCCTCAACACCACTTATCCCACCCCCATGCCTATGTTAGCTTAGCTCAGGAATGGGTCTGTGTTGACCTAGTGTGATTTTGCCAAGTCCTCAGCCACGGACGACCCATGGGAATGAGAGGAGGCAGTATGGCACAGGGGAAAGAATGTCCAATTTGGATTCAGAGTCCCTGGAGTCAAGTTCCAGTTCTGCTTATTCATTACCTTTGTGATCTTGGGCAAATCATTCCATCTCTTTAGGCCTCATTTTGCTCCTGTAAAATGAGAGGGTTGAACTGGATAACCTCTTAGATCCCTTCTAGTTCTAAAACTGATGATTCTATGAAAGGGAGCTTAGCTACATGTAGCCTTGGCCTAACCTCTGCCATTGCTTAGTTCAGAAGCCTATACTCAAAATGATAAGATCTTCCACGTATATTCCCACCATCACACATGGTAGTATCTTTAAAATTAAATGCTTGAGGGATCTCAGAACATGTTTAGATAACAAAATAGGAGAAAGAAATTCTGGGAAAAGTAGATAGTTGGGCTGGCTTCTTTCATATATGCCACAGACCCTACCTTCCTATTTTAAATTTAAAATGATGTGCATTATTTCATGTTAAAATGAATCAGGAATAGAACATACCACCTTTTTTCCCCCTTCTGTTAAAATTAGGCTATTATAATACATACCTGGAAAAAATTTGAGCAGAAATGGGTATCTAAAGAAAGGGGGGAAAATCATTCTGTCCTATTTCTGGGTATATCTTTTCCATCCCTGGAGTACTGATGGTATGTGTAATTCATTTACCCATTCAGCTTTCCAGAACTTGTCTGTACTACCTTCTCCATGCCATGATTGTAGAATCATAGATAAAGAACTATAAAAGGGACCATGGAAATTATCTAGTCCAAACCTCTCCTCTTACACATAAGAAAACAGACACACAGGTAATGAGTAGCAGAGTCAGGATTCAAACCCAAGTCCTCTGCCTCCAAATCCAGCATTCTTCCCACTTCAACACCCCATGAAAACATTGCCCCAACAAAGAGAGGTGTTACTTTTCAAAGTCTGCCAGGGAGACTCTCCATCCTAGTGAATATTGCTGTCTTTGAAGGAGTTCTTTTGGGAGACAACATGCTGCTTACTTAATCCAGTGATGCTGCTTTTCCCCACAACAGTTCCAGATTCCCTTTTGGGAACTGCCATCAAGGGCTCGGGGCACAGGCTTTCGAATCTTCCATGGTATTAAATATTCCCCCTTTGAGGCTGGATTTGATTTCTGGAAATAGTCAGCCCCTTGGAGCCAGCCAAGTTCAATATGTGATTAAGCTTGTAACAGTGTTTTCAGTCCAGAATGCAAGTATGACTACCAGTTAATGAAATGGCTTGCAAACTGGCTGTGGATGAATGGATGATTTCCTAAAGGGAAGTCCAGAAATGTTTTAGGCAGTAGCAGCATTGTTGGAATGAGTGTACAGCCTTCTAAAGAGTACATCGTAAAAAAGATAGCTCAGTTCAATAAACATTTGTTAAGCATCTACTGTATACCAGGCCCAAGTGAGGCATCATAGTTTATTGGTTAGAGAAGAGGCTTTGGAACCAAGAAGGCCTGGGTTCAGTCTCACTTCTGAAACACGCTAGCTGTGTGCCCCTGGGCAAGTGAGTGCTCCAGGTGACTCTGGTACTAGAAGCAGCAGAGAAGCTGTTGCCTTGGTAGCTCAATTAAGTCACCATTCTCACCTCTGTCCTTCTGTAACAAGCACTTTCCTAAGTATTGGGGATTCAGAGAAGAAAAGAAAACAGGATCCACCCTCAAGGAGATTACATTCTGCCACATTCTTTTTTGTATGTACAGATTTTGGTATGCTAAGGATGGCTTTAGTCTCACCCAGCCTATTTGAGAATGATTGCACTAAACCTGTCCTCCCTTGCAGGGTTTTACAAAAAGGCCATCAGTCCAGAATGGTCACGTAAAGAGGAAAGGGGGATAGTCTGGTAATAAGCAATTATATAGCACCTACTATGTGCTAAGCACTTTTTACAGATTATCTCATTTGTTCCTCAGGACAACCCTGGGAGGTAGGGGCTCTTATTATCTCCATACCCATTATCCCCATTTTACAATTGAGGAAACTGAAGCAGACAGGTACAGTGATTTGCCCAGAGTCACACAGCTAGTAAGTGTCTGAGACCTGATTAGAACTCGGGCTTCCTGACTGCAGGCATATAAACATGTATTTAACTTATGCTCTGTACTGAAAATTGAATGTATGTGTGCAGAGCCTAATGTAAGTTGAATCCTACTGACTGACTCCTCACATATGAAAACCAGACCTAGATAGATACTTAGCATTCAGAGTAATTCAACAAACATTTATTAAGTAATTATGATATGCCAGGCATTGTTCTGGGCACTGGGGATGCAAAGATAAAAATGAAAACATTCTCTGCTCTTGGGGAGCTTACTTGTGGGAAGCAACATGTATCCAGGTAAATAAATAGAAATATATGCAAAGTAAATGTAATTTCTAGGACAGACTTGGGGGGTGGGAGCTGGTGCCAAATGAAGAGAAAGGAAGGAGGGACAGCTATTTGGAAATATCAGGATGTGTTTGTTGAAAAAAAAATATAAAAAGATCCTGCCTTAATAAGATGAAAAGTATTTATTTAAAAGCGACAACTAACATTATTTACATTGCAATAGAATATAGACTTCTTAAGGATAGGAATTGTTTATGAGAGATAGTGTGGATAGAGATCTAGCCTTGAAACCAAGAAGACCTGGGTTCAAATGATGCCTCTGATGAATACTAGCCACATGGACCTGAGCAAGTTCCTTTAAGCCCTCAGTGTCCTGAGTTGGTACTTTCTAAGTCAAAGAGAAGGTGGCAACCTGCATTGGTAGAGGGAATTTCCTCATCTGGAAATTCCCGATATGAATCAGGTTATAAGTCCAGTGCCTTTCCAGGTGTAGTAATAGTAGATATTTAACATGCTTGCTGAATGAATGAAGAAATGAAGAAACTCTAGATGCTTCCTAATAAAATCAGGAGTGAGCAAGGATGTCCACTGTCACCATTATTATTTGGCATAGTACTAGAAATGCTAGCTACTGCAGGGAGGCCCCCAAAAATGTAGGAAGTAGACCCTGAAGAAGAGGTAAAGTTACCCCTCTTTGCAGACTGTGGGATGGTTTACTTAGGCTTGCCTAAAACTGGCATCCCTGTTTTCATCCGGCATGTCCTAAATGGACATGCTTTTTCTCCTAATACTCAATTTGGCCCTAGCAGGATTTATTTTCGTAGTCTTTGTCCTTGGCCATTTTTGATGGGTTTCTTACCCAGCCATGATTTTAGATGCCTTGGTATGCGCGAGCCATACACAGAACACATTTAGAAGAACAAATCATACAGAAAGTATGTTGAATTGTTAAGTTTCCATCCATCTTGGCACATGCCAGCAGGAGCAGTTCAAAGATGCCCCTCTCCAAGAGGGTCCCCATTGAGACAAAAATCAACTGTTGGAGAATCAGGAGCCGAATTGTCTACGAGTTCTGCTTCAGGCCTTTGTGTTTGTGGATCGCATTTAGAGAAATGCACAGAAATTCACCCACCCACAGGGTGTAGGCTTAGGGCTTCCAGCCTTTCCTATCCTGTGGTTCTACTCTACCACTTCTGAACATTCCTTATAGAGTATGTTTATTTTGTTAAAAATTAAGTTGAATTAAAAGAACTTTTGTGTTGAAAATTAAGTGATATGCCCTGAGATTATGTATTTAGGTTGTTTTAGTATTAGCATGCCCACAGATCCTTCAAGGCCCAAGCTGGCCTTGTATGAGTATATATATACTATTATTGAATAATATATGTATATGTATGATATTCTGTATGAGCATGTCAGAGGTGTAGTTGAGGCCCTATGACTTACTGAATAGAGTTCAGGGCTTGAAGTTAGATCTATGAGCATATCCTGCCTTACATAAATTCTGTGTGACTTAGGCAGAATTTGCATTGGTAGAAGAAGTTCATCTACCAGAAATCCCCATGCTGTTGGAATCACAGGTCTTAAAATGCTTCCATTTCCAGGGATCTAGACTATTTAAGGAATCATAAGAGACCAGTGTGGTACAATGGAAGTAATAGTGCTTTATGATTTGCAGAGGTCTTGAGTTAGAATCCTGGTTCTGCCTCTTACAACTGTGACTTGGGACAAATCACTTCTGCTCTAGGCCTGAGTTACTATTTATAAAATGAGAAGGTTGGATTAAGCGGCCCTTCCCATTTTGTATCTGTAAGATTCTAAAACACTTTTGATGTTCATTTGGGAAACAACAGGGCAAAGTCTAGACTGTTGGAGGAGCAACACTTAAATCATCACTGTTCGTTTTCTGTCACACTCATTCAGCCAACACTAAGTGCCTACTGTACAGACCAAATATACTAGACAAAAGTAAACAGTCTAACCTTGCCCTTTCAGATCTCAATCTGACACACATGCATGAAACAGCATGAGAAAATGTTGTTGTAGCATACTGGACCAGTAATTCAGAGGGACAGAGCTGGAAGGATACCTCATAGGACATATATAACTAGCTGATGGGAAGGGGGAGCAGCAGCTGCTACTTTTGACCTCAGACCCCCCCCCCCATTTGGGATAATCATGAGCTAACTCTGATGTACTTTCTCCCTTCACAGAAATGGTTTCCCCAAACAGACGGCAGCACAGCTGATCCTGAGAGCCATCTCCAGCTATTTTGTGTCCACAATGTCTTCGTCAATCAAAACGGTTTATTTCGTGCTCTTTGACAGTGAGAGTATAGGGATATATGTGCAGGAAATGGCAAAACTAGATGCTAACTGAGTTGAAAGAATTACAGAAGCAGCCCAAACTCACTTGGTCCTTTTCTTCAATTTAAAATTAAAAAGAAAAAAGAAGTCCTTAACTCCTAATTGTGAGGCAACACCCTTTATTTTCAATTTTGCTCATCTAGGGAAATGAGATTTGTTTTTGTTTTTGTTTTTCGGGTTAATTTTTTTTGACCTTCTAAAATGTTTTTATGTTAGCACTGATAGTTGGCGTTACTGCTGTTAATGCACTGTTTCAGCCCTTGTATGAGTTTAGTGTAATCTAGGAGATTTTATAGTTTTATTTTAATGAAAACCGGATTGATGCAGACAGTAGTGGGAAGTACATTGTCTTTTACATGTGGAAGAAACCAGGAAGCCCTATTTTGTAACTGTGTTGTGGTACGTAATCCTACATTGTGTGATGTTTCCCTCATCACATTGTTCTCATTTTTTTTTCCTAAAACAACAACAAAAAAAAAAAAAAGAAAAGAAAAAAAAGACATCACATTTAATTTCTGTTTACTTATTGTCTTAATGATGGATCTGGAAATGGGGGGAAAAAGGAGAAGCCTGTTGTCCTTAATTATATTTGCAATTTGGAATTTGTGTGAATTGATTTAGTAAAATGTTAAACTGTTTCTGTGTCTTGGTGTGTTTTTGGGTGACTATGGCAGAGAGGCCCGTGGTGGCTTCTCACAGTGGTCGGGGGAAGGATGTCAGGCTCTAGGAACGACCCAGATCTTGTTTGTCTAGAGAAGAGGGTAGGCCAGGGTTCTCATTCCCTAGCCCTTGTTTCAGCTCTCAGAATACATAGCCCATCCATTCTCACTCACATCTTTAGGCAATGAAGCTCGTGTTCTACCTGCAAAGTCAGATGATGGACCCTTTTGTCTTAAGTTGTAATTATTATTATGTTGCAGCCTCTCAGAGTTCTGTAAAACAAAAGAGTTTGACTGTGGTCCTTTCCAGCTCTACATAAGATGATGGTCCCTTTTGCTGCATATCATACCTCCCTATTGGCCGTGAAGGTCAAGCCCCAAAGGCTCAGGAAGGGACCTTTGGTATGGACTTGTCCCTGCAGCCACCCTCCTATAGTTGCAGACCAGGGTCTCTAAGAACAAGTATTCAATGTGACTTTATTGATTTGATTTTTCAGTGCGAGACAGTTTAATATAGAACCATGGGGTCACACTCAAATAGGAAGAGGGGCCACAAAACAGTACATAAAGATCCCTGCTGCAGATTGACTTAGAAAACCACATGTTAACATTATCTATGTTCTGTTGTATTTATCTTTTAAATATTTCCCAATTTTAATTTTGCTAGGGCAGCACTGGGCTGCTTTATTGACATCTCTGATGTAAAGCTACCTTCCATATCCAGAAGGTAGGGGCTTCAAGTCCTGCCTGAGGCCCTTACAAATTTTATAATTGTGGAAGATTCAAACTTTTCAGGCCCCAGGCAACTCTCCAAAGCTGTTAATTGAAGAATAGCTTCCAGTTTGCATTGTTAGGGTCTACTCATCAAGAGGTTCTATCTCAATAAAATATCAGGTCTGTACCTCCCCCCGCCTTAGGGAATTTTGTAAAAATAATAATGAATGCTTAAATTTGAAAAACAAACCCTCTTGGGATAATTTTGTTGCTTCTATTATTTGTTTTCTCATTGGAAAAGATCCTGATATTGGGAAAGATTGAAGGCAAAAGGAGAAGGGGACAGCAGAAGATGAGATGGGCAGACAGTGTCATGGAAACAATGAACATGAGGTCGCGCAGACTTCGGGAGATAGCGGAGGATGGAAGAGCCTGGCATGCCGTGGTCCAGTGGGGTCACAAAGAGTCAGACGCCACTGAAAGGCTGAATAACAACTATTATTTGTTTTAAACACAGGCCACTTTGTCCTGCCCTAATCTAGCTTGGCATACACATTCTCCCAGTTTTGCGCCTTACTACCTTTGTAACCTTTGGCAAATCACATAATCTCTGAGTTCTGTAAAACAAAAGAGTTAGACTGTGGTCCTGCTCTTCTCTACATGCAACAAACAGCTACACCCTGGGGGAGGTAAAAGTTCACCATTGTCAAGGACTCTTAGAAGTCACGCTTCATTTTATATGACAGGGTTGGACTAGGATAATCTCTAGGGACTCGCCCAGCTCTGGAAAAAAAAAAAACAAAAAAACACCACCACTTTATGATTCTCTCCTATGATTCTTACACTTAAACTGTATTTTAAAGGTTAGAAAAATACAATACAATATAATATGTTTCATTTGGGTGCTGTCCTAAGGTGATTTCCTCCCCAAAACAACCAAGGTAGTGCAGCATTTGGTGACTTCGTGTTCAAGCTAGAAAAGTGGCTTGCTTGAATAGCTAGTTTACTATTAGTTACTATTATTAGGTACATTCATTTGTGCTTCCATGGTCTCTGCTGGGTTTCTGTGTAACTTGTAACCAAAGTTGTAAGTGTAACCCAGTTACCAAAGTATCAGATTTTTTCCCCCAAAGAAGAGATTTCTTCTCTACTCCTTAAGATGTTTTTAAAATGACAAAAACTTTAATGGGTGGATGTTTTTGTTGTGTGATTAAGCTGCTGATAATTGGGCAGATGAAATGACTTTGTAGGAATATAATCGATAGAGTTTTGCCAATTGGTGGAGGGATTGGACAGAATAGGACTTCTAACACCTGGGTTGAAGATGGACGTTGAAGTCCAAGGTCTAATGAAAGTTCAAATGTGGCCATTGTTTTCTGGGTAAATCAAACCCTGTATTTTGTAAAGATTCCACTAGATGTCGCTAAAAGGACTGAAAAGTAAACAATTTGTCCATGTGTTCACACAAAGGCATAATTTGTGTGGATCCTGTGAAGTTTGCAGTAATTATTTATCATAATTACCAGAGGATCTCTGAAGTTTCAGAAAAAATAAGTACACTTTAACTCTCTATGTGAATGTGGAGTCTTCAATATGTAGCAATAATTTTAAAAGAAAATGGTGCCCAGAACTGAGTGTTGGGTTTTGAGCCAGAGGACATGGGTTTGAATCCTGTCTCTGCACCAGCTACCTTTGTGACCATAGACAACATTTTGCCTCTTGGACTTAAGTTTCCTTATCTATAAAGAAGTAGGTGGTCTCTAAGGTTCCTTTCAGTTCTAAGTCTGTGGTCTTACAATGTTACATTGCTATCTGTTACTGTACTCAGGACCACAGATTGAGAGTTGGAAGGGAACTCCACATTTTACGGATGAGGAAACTGAGGTCCAAGAAGGCTAAATGGCTTGCCTAGAGTTACAGGAGTGGTAGAGTAAGGGTTAAAATACAGATTCTCTAACTCCAAATCTAGCAGTTTTGCCAGTACTCTGTGCAGATCTCTATACCACAATTAAAATTATGTAACAAAATGAGTTCAATAGTAATTACCTTAGGGCTAAGGGTTTGAGAGAAGTGTTTCTTCCTTTAAAAAAAGAAAAACACCCACACCACTGCAAAGAAATTTCTCATAAAACACACTTTTTTTTTCTAGCCAGAAGACTACCTCATAACAAAGGAAAATGCACCACAAAAGTAATTTGCTTCAGATGGGGGGGAAAAATCCTGTGCATTCAGAAGAATAATGTGCTGAATGTTGAATTTTGTTTTTACAGGAATTTAAATATCTATATATTAAAAAAATAACTTGTGCCTATGGCAGAAGAGCATGCCTATCCAAATGAACAGTCAGAAACAGAAGTACAGTACATGGATGTACTATGGTATTTGCCTATGTTTGCTTCACAATCATACCCCAATACATTAGGACTCCTTGGAAAGTTTGCCTCCTTTCCACGAAAGCCCTGCAGGTTTTGTACTCTGAAGAATAAAATTAATAAGATAATCAGTTAATTTGGATAGTTCTGAGGGAAAGAATCAAAAGATATACCTGGAGTCAGAAGAGACCTGGGTTTGAATACTGCTTCTGATAATAGCTGTGTGACCATTGACAATCCTCTTAACTTCTCCAATCTCAGTTTACCCATCTAAAAAACTGAAGAGAATATATTATGCATCTAGATTTATTGTGAGACTATACATATATACATACATATATATATATGCTAAGTGTTTTGCAAACCTTAAAGCAACACTTTTTCCTTAGTGATAGGATTTGTGTTTTTTTCTTTTTTTTCTGTCCCAAATTATCTGGGTAAAAGTTGATTGTCTCAGTTATCTCCCTTAATTCATCTTAATTGCTATGTTCTGTTTAAGATTTAGACAGAGAAGCAGCATTTTCTTCTTTGGTGTCAACTTGGCCCCAGAGAAGTCCCTGGACTAAACTTCTTAGGATCTTGCCAATTCAGATTCTATGACTCTAAGAATCACTGTACAACCCTGTCCTGAAAGAAGAATGGCATCTGTCTTTTAAAGAGAGGTTTCTATACATCTATAGTCATAAATACACAAGCATATACTGAGTGCCTTCCATGTGGAGCTTTATACATGGCAAGATCGCTGCCCTTAGGGAGTATCCTCTCTAATAATGGAAATAAGGGTCTTTACCCACACACAAAACGATTATTAACATTAATAACTAATTTGCACTTATAGAGCATTTTAAGGTTTATAAAATTTTCCTCAAAGCAACACAGGGAAATAGCACAAGTATTTTACAGATTAGGAAACTGACGTTCAGAAATTAGTGACTTGTTATGTCATGGAGCTAGAAAGTGCAATTAGAGGAATCACATGCCTAAATGGGTGGTAGAGGTAAGTTGTGTAAACTCAGAGGAAAGATAAATCTAGGTGGGCTGGGTTAGTCAGGGAAAGCTTCACAGAGTACTTGGAACCTTAAGGACAGATGGGAGTGGAACAGATACAGAGGAGAGGAGAGGGCATTCCAGGTGGAAGAGATGGTGTGAGCAGAGGTGCCAAGGCAAGAGTCCAAAAAGCTCAGGTTGAGGAACTGAGGCAGAAAGACATCAGGCAGATGAGGTAGATGCAGCAGATGCACAGTAAGTGGTCAAATTTCCCATTTGCATTTATGATTGGACATAAATTAGGGTAGAGTAGACACTACACTGTGAGAGCCATGAGTCAGCAAAGTCTTCTTGCTCGGATGCATCCTGAGATGTGTAACTTTAGATCTGCCTTATTTTCCAGTCCAACTCCTACCAGAATTCTCTCACCTTCTGGGCTGTCCATCCATGCGATTTGTTTATCTTATAAAATTACTCCATTACATTCATGGTCAGACTGCAGTGTTAGGTCACAGCTGCATTTAACCACTGACAGGAATATAATTTTATAGCAAAGAAGGAAGGTGGCAAGGAAGGAAGAAAAGGAAAGGAAAGGAAGTTAGGGAAGGAAGGAAAGAAGGAAGAAGACAAGGAAGGAGGGAGGGAATTAGATTAGTTTCAATATTCTCCAGGGTTAATAAACATCAAACTCTTGGGTTCTAGTTTTCCAACTTGGTGTTTTTAACACTCAGGCTTAGTGAAGGGCAAACATGCTTATATTTGGATGTGGGCTATCTTTTTTTCTGGGCTATATAACTGTCTCTTTAGTTTATCTCAGGAAAGATAAAAATGCCACATAGGAAAAAAAAAGAGAAGGAAAAGGAAGAAAGGAGGGAAGAAAAGAAAGGGAAGGAAAAACAGGAAGAA